AATGTTAGGAATTCCAAATAATCAATCCAGTTTACTGGAGGCCAAATGAGTACGCCAAATTTAAGATAATTACTTTATTGGCTACACAATATGTCCATTTACATAAGGTGAATTTATACTCAAATTCCTAAAATAGTATGATAAATAAATATAAAATATAATAATTCTAACAAATACAAAACTTACGATTTCCCCTAACTGGAAGGAACAAACCTAACAAACGATACTATTATAACTATTTTAAATAATAATAGTACATAAATTATTTTTAGTGACAAATCAGTAAATTATATATTTCCGTTTTGACATCATATTTCTACGGGGTTAAATCTGTAATTTATCAATCATTCTTCACAGGTAATTTGATTTGAGCACTTTTTTGTCCCGGTTGTTTATCTTTACATCCTCTTTGTTTTTGAAGTAGTCTTGGAATATCACCTAATGTTGTTTTTGAAATGTTTTACAAAATTTGTGTTTGAATTTATGACAACTTGCAAAAGTTTTTTCCTAGGTAAATAAATTATACATCGTGCCTTTTTGTTCCTCAAAATGAAAAAATTATAAAACGCTGACAGTTCGTTCGACATAACTAGCGAACATGCACCGAGGGAATTTTTTTGCTATGGTAGCAAAAAATGTATTAACCCTTAAAAAAAACTCTATTAAAATAGGCGACAGCCAAAGTACTTTGCTACGGTTAATAAATTCACTTTTTTGGAATTACTTTTTAGTCTCTAAAAACTTACTTTTTAGTTTTTATTAATTTTAGTGGTTAGATAGTAAAATTTTACTCACTAAAAAGTAGTTTTTTATGGTTAAAAAGTAGGTTTTTAGTGGTCAAACAGTATTTTTCTTGCAGTTAAAAATATTTTTTTTTACCTTTAAAAGGTAGTTTTAATTAATAAAAAATTAATTTTTACCTTTAAAAAATTGTTTTTAGTGGTTAAAAAGTAGTGTGTAGTGGTTTAAAAGTAACCTTTGACCTTTAAAAAGTAGATTTTAATGATTATACAGTTAATTTTTACCTTTAAAAAGTATTTTTTGATGGTTAAAAGTAAATTTTGCTATTTAGGGCTGGTTTCTTCAGCTCTTAGGCCGTTTTTTCTATAAAAAAATAAAGTTCAGTTAAAGTCGAAATACAAGAATGTTTTGCATGTATTAAAAAATGTCAAATTTCCAGATTTACCCAGGATAACTGAACTTTATATTTGTTCATAATGAAACCAGTTCTGTTTTAAAATAGAAAAATTAACTTTTTAGCCGTGCATTAGAAACTATATATAATTATTAGAGCAAAATTTACCTAATATATACCTACCTATATAATTTACATACATTTTTATTTAACCTGTGGTGGAAATACAGATCAACATAGGAAAGGAAGGGTTTCAAAAATAGATGAGACGATTATTTTGTAATAAATATATTAGTTATATTGCTAAATATTTCAAAAATGTATTTGAAATTTAAAAATTCAGAAGGTTATGTAATATAAAATTGTTATTTAATAATTTAAACTTATTTGTCTTTAGACGTATAATAACGTAACGCATATGTATCAAGAAATTTCAAATGAGCAGTTAGTAGCTTTAAATTAATCCGGTACCTACTTATTCTTTGTGAAAAATCCTAGAAGAAATTTTATTCTAAATATATTGTTTTCTGTTTATTATAATATAGAATAGAATAATAAAATCCATGCCATTAGGAGTATTAACTAAAATAGGTAGGAACATAAAAACATAACATTCTTCTATCTACCAGGTGGGCCATTCCAAACGATCCTTCCTTAATATCTAGAAAAAAAAATTCTTTATTAATACTATCTCAGAAACTTAAATTTCGAATTTTAATAAAATTTTGCACCAGTCGTGGATCCTGGAAACCCCCTTCCCTAGCTCAGTAAGTTAATAATTTAGATATAAATTAATGTCAAGTATTTTTGAGAAATGTTTTAATTTAGGTTTTTAAGGTCTGTAAAAGCTAAGGTTGTATTGTTGAATGCAACAAAAAATAAATCAGTCTCCCGAATCCTTTATAAAACTGTCAAAATTCAATAAAAAAACTTACTTTTTAGTCCCTAAACACGTACTTTTTAGTTTTTATTAATTTTAGTGGTTAGAAAGTAAAATTTTACTCACTAAAAAGTAGTTTTTTATGGTTCAAAAGTAGGTTTTTAGTGGTTAAACAGTATTTTTCTTGCAGTTAAAAAGTATTTTGTTACCTTGAACAGGCAGTTTTAATTGTTGCAAAAATGACTCAAGTCTCCCGAATCCTTTGAAAAACTGTCAAAATACATTAAAAAAAAACAGAAAACATTTGCGTATTATCAATTTCCAAATAAAATTAAATAAAATAAGGTATACCTAAAAAGATAAACATTTGCCATCTTTCTACTAATTCTTATTTCTTATTCTAGGTTATTTCATGTATACCTAAACGCTATACAGATGTGCATGTTTAATTTGCCAAAAGTTGGTACAAAAAAAATAATTACAAAACATTTTTGTTTTCTATTTCTTAATTTAATAAAAATATCTAAAAACACTGCCATACATATGTTTTGTTAGAAATATCTGTTAACGTCACTGAAACAAATAATTTTAATTTAAACATTTAACCCTCAGTACTCAAAATAGCCTCCAAGTTCCATCAAAATAGAAAAAGGAATTTCTGATATCTTAATGAAAAAACTTTGCAAGACTTTTCACTTTATATACTGTTTTTTCCTTAATTAACGTTAAAGTGAGGGGTCAATACATTTGAAACCGATAAATTAGTAGATATAAAATACTTTTATATTATACGATACGTAGGTACTTACCCTTAAAATTTTCAACAAAATCTTGAAGTCCCCAATTAGTTAGCTTCTCTGTGTAATCCATTGGAAAACAAACACAACTTTTGCACAATTATTGTAAAAATGGCGTCAGACCTACGATTTTCCAACGTAACGTGGATGACCTTTGCTGGCGGCTAGGGTAATTATAACTAAAATAACAAATCAATCGCCCGGCTTGTTTTTGTCTGTGCCTGCCGATATACCGGGAACGGACTGAACGCGGTACGCGGAATACACGAAAATTTTCTCGAGAACAGACGAAAAAGCACCCGATCGAAACCGATCGTTATTTTCTAAAGACATTTTTTATTGGACTTAAAAAGCGAATTGTTGTGATGGAAAATATACGTATTAATATTTTGAATTTCTACTACAGAAAATAAATGTTTAGTAATTAAAAACTATTTTTAAGAGCAAAAACTATTTTTGCTGGTTCTATAGATTTAAAAAAAATATTTGCGAAGGTAACAATTTTTTTTTGTATGGCGACAAAGCTACTTTAAAAAAGCATTTTATTTAGTTGCATGAATGTATTTTTTTAATTGTAGCTGAAAATTTATTTGTGGTAGCAAGAAATTTCTCAACAAAAAACTTTTTAAATATAATTCTCTCAGTGTGTCGTTACATACGCATTTTTAAAATAATTGAAATTATTAATATGTATCGATTTGAATATTAATGATCAAACAGCTGCAATTTGTGGTCGTATTTGCGTCGATATTGAATTCCAAAGATATCTTATTATTAATTAGTAATTACGTTTACGGCAACGGCTTACGACGCAATATTTTATTTAATATGCATAAAGAGTAAACACTTATTTTACTCCAAAACGCGTGTATCGTTTAAAAGGCTTCGGAAATTTATTCCCGCATGCCGTATCGGGAGAAGGATTATTGGGTTTTTCTGATGTCGAAAATAAAAATATGCGAAGGAGAGTAATCAATTTCAGGTTAATTGACACTTCATGTTTTTGTGGATTGAAGGCATGCGGCAAATTTATACATCGCATTACTAATTCTGCTTGCTTGGGTTTCTTTTTTCTCTCGGCATGCAGACACTGTGGAGTTAATTTCAAGGGTGGGTATGATTCGGATAATTATTGAAAAGTGGTTTTCAAAGAAAGCCATTGTTTATCGTTTGATTGATGGTAAGAATTTTTAATTATTAATTAGTTATAGTTTATTTGAAAATGAATGATAGAAAACTGTTAAAAAAAATGATCAAACTTCGTATTTAGCTTAACTTTTCATACACAAATCCTTCTATACTTCTATACACAGTAAAAAAATATTTCACCCTGTATATACCACTGAATTGATATGTAATCTTGCGTCTTCTAGCATTTCGCTGATTTTGAAACCCTTTATTAATATTATCATTGATGTTCAATCATCATCGTTATCTACATAAAAAAATCTAACAAATTGATGACAGACACTGTTAAACCAATTATTAAATTATCTTTTTCAAAAGCGTTACTAACGAATAAAACCATAAATACACATTAAAACCAATAAAAAAAAACACGGCGTGCATATTTATTGGTGACAATGATACCTTTTTATATAAAAAAAAAGAAATTAGGTCTCCCTAATTGATACCTTCGCAAAAAAGGGCTCTTCCCTACGTACTGGCTACAATTAAATTCAATTTAGTACGACCGAACACCTTTCTAATGTTATTTTTAGCTGTGTAATTATCTTTCAAAAGGTGTCGGAACAAACAATGCAATGAAAAATAATGACAAAACTGTTTTACTCGGATAAATTATAGAGTAAAAAAATGGCAGGCAGTAATGTCATTTCGTTTCTATCCCAATCATTTTGAAATGATAGTGAAATTATATTAGTTTTCGGAAATAATCTGACTTCTAGCGGTTACATATAAGACTGTCATAAAATCTACAGTAATTGCAAATTGTGAAACCTGCACAATGATAAATAATATAGTTAGAAAACAAACTGAGAATGTGGAAGAGAAAAATGTTAAGGAGAATAAAATATATGGAGGTACAAAAATTAATTAGAAGAAATTAATCAAGGCCCAAAGAATAAGGTGGATGAGTTATAGTCTAGGCTAAATTAGGGGGGGAGCCGGAAGGTGTTAAAATAAAATACATGTTATACTTTTAATAAAATTCTTATAATTATATATAGTTTATTTTTAATCTTAAACAAGTGGTTTAACAATAAATACTTCGGTGTTTATCTTATGTTAAATAACAAGAGACCATACCAAACTATCAAAAGTGTCAAATTTTGTCACTGTAGAATACCATCCCGGTGAGTAAAGTCTGTTATTTTTAAGAGGATCTGGGTGATTTTGATAAATTTTTCCTACAAAGTTTGCACCAAACTGACCCTCTGTACCTTTTCCTACGTAAATGGAGGAATTAAATGTCACTTTGTTATCCTCACCAAATTGCCAACCCGCGAAGACAGGGCGATATTGATCGCTCTCTAATACGGACGGGAATGTAGACTGTGAAGTTTGTACCCAAAAAATTCTGGTTGTATAATGACCTTTACCACATAAAATCTGCAAAATGAAAAATTAGTAACTAGTTAGGAAAACTTGATCACCCAGAAACCATTTCAAATTGTAAATTACATTAAAAATTTCTAGCCTGACTGTTATTCCATTTAGTTTCCTAACAAGGTACTACAAGCCCAGCTTTGATTTTGCTTACTAAGTGTAGATGGTGTTACCTTATGACCTCTATATATAGTATTTGAGCATATTTTTATTAAAATAAAGTATGATATTACGCAGATTGATACTACGACACGCTGACGTATTGTGGTGCAATGGCGTGGCTTTTACGAATTTGAGGTATCAGTTAATCGAAAACAGCGCGCCAAAATAAATTTTCTTCTGACTATGGCCATATTCCACACCACAATACGACATACGCGACCTCGACGAGATTTTGTGGGCTAAATATCATACCTCTGTAATATTTGTATCATAGTATTTGAGTACATTAAACGCTTCTACAGATTCTATTAGATTGGAATATAAAATGTCTAGTATTTCATCATGCGCCGTTTTAAGAACCAAACTGATCCATGAATGACATTTTCTTAAAATGAAAGTTAAAGTAATAATTTTCTACCTCTGTTGGCTTAAAAGGATAGCATTAATGAAGAAAATGGGAAAACCCAAGTATGTGATTTCTTCCAGTGACCCATATTTTAAGTGTACATACTGCTATAACCCCCTAACCCCTGGGTAGTGCCGGTTTTTAATTCTGCCTTTTGTTAAAACGGGTTTGTATATTTCTAACCAATATTTACTTTGTTTCTGAACGCCTTATCTTTCATTTACACCTCCCAATTTACTTCTGATTCATAATTTCTCCAGATATAGGGCGGTATTCTCCCACTATACACTAACTCATGACGTAATTATTGATGAGCATCTAACTTGGGTGGAACATCTACATTTTTACTTAGTGGAAGGCTCAGCTGAGGTTGCTTTGCATTGAAACAAATTAAAAAAGTAGCTGATCATACATAATGTCTTATATAGAGGTGTATTTTGGTCTATTTTATTGTTAAATGTGCCATGGAATTATTTTTTGGGAATGTTCAAACCGTCAAAAAGTAATATACAAAAGAGCAATTAGAATATTGGCTAATCTGAAGCTCAAAGAATTATAATTATGAACGTAAAAAGTCTAAACGATCCTTATAAATAAGAATTAGAGTTTTTTTTTATTATTTATTCTTACCTTTACATTTTTGTCAAAACTAATAATTGTTTCGTCATCTAATGAAACATTTACAGGTATAACTCCACCTATTATATTAGTTGGAAGGTATCCTTCGTTTGGCCCGTCTTCTACATGAACCAAACCTACGTAAATAGGAATACCACCAGGAAAAGTTGACGTTCTGCCTACAACGATGCTAGTGTCTGGCAATTTTCCATCGATATAGTCCCTCCACTCGAGGAAATCTTCTAAAAATGAAAATTATTGTCTTTTAAAGGTTATGTTATGAGAAATTGTTCTCTGAAAATGTACGCAGACAAATATATCAACGATATTCTTCTACCTATACAGGGTGACAAATTAATTAAACTAGTTTATTCAAATTTGGCAAATAAATCTCTAACATCTTATATTTCGGTCTGAATGTCATCGGTTAAAAGCTAGAGATATTTTCAAAAACAACGACTCTCGGAACAAAGTATTAAGATCATTTTTACACAAATATTAACATATTAGAGTTGATCTAAATACCCCACCTTGAATTTCAACTAAACACTCTAAGTAGACAAACTGCGAAGGGTATCTTGAATGGAGTAAGGTAGAAATAACAGGTGCAAACAAAGCCGTGATCAAGTAAGGCTATTATCTATAACCGCTTAGGAGGATAACTTCCCGGTGAAAACAAAACAACAGAGAACAAGAATAGTCAGGTGGAACAAGAACTTAGAACATCTTGGAGGTGATATTCTGTAAAGGGTATTTAATAATCTGAAGACTGGTCTCTATATAGAGCTAAACTGACAAAGTACAACAAGGAGATAAGAGAGTGAAGAAGGCAATAGTGGAAGAACTTATATATGTAAGAAGTTTTCTAAAACACTCACATGCTTCAAAATCCTAGATAAAGATGGTATTACAAAGCAGGAAATATGATGAATTCGAGGAAACCTTGTCAATGATTACAGTAGCACATGTTCTGGCCTCTAAATAGAATATATTCCTTTATGAGCCCTTCCAGAAGTACACTTAATAGCGTCACTACGTGGCAAGTAAACGCTTCTTATTCAATTCAATGTTAAAATGTAGGTGATACCTAGACTAGCTGTGTCGAAGAGAAGCAGATCATTGAGTTTGTTCAAAATCTTTTATGATTTTTAAGTAAACACAGTTTTACGAGAAATCTTAGAAGGAGTCCATAATAACACTGGACAATTCTTTTACCTTCCCATATGTGAAGAGGTTGAGTGGTGTGTACACACTGGGTAATAAGAAATGAATTGAGAGTATTTAAAGTGTGTAAATTGAGTTTTATTATTAAAACTCTGTAAAAATTTGTCTAAGCGCTTTCGACCTATTAAGCCATCATCAGAGACTCTACAAAAGAGAAAAAAAAACGGAGTTGTAACAATATAATCAACTCGTAACATTACTAAACAATGAATAAAAAACTTGAACACTTACTCGTCAAAAACTATAGAAGAAACATGAAAAATGCACTAAATTAAAAAGGACAGCAACAGACCAGTCCCAAGTCACCACCATAGCTTGTAGCTTGGATAATTGAAAATAAAAGAACCCCACCGAAAATGTGGTTAAATTTTAAAAAATGAAGTGGGGGTGCATCCAACCAAGTAAAACTGAACACTCCAAACCATTCAAAGGAATAGAAACTGCTGGTCTTCAACATGAAGACAGCCAGATTTTTCCAGTTGCTATCGTGAGGCGGAGGCAAGTTGGGGCACAACAAATAGTAAGTACATGATATTTTTGAGAACGTGACCATCTTGACAGTTTCCAAAAAAGACAGAGTGACAATTGACAACTTGAGAAATTGAAATGAAATTGTCAAAAGTTGATATTGAAAATGATAAAAGTGGGTTGGTACCCCTGATCTAGGAAGATCAAGTTATGGCGGAACTTTTAAATTTTAAACAGCAAAAGATTACAATGATTAAATAGAATTATAAAATATACAGTGAATGAAGGTAAAAAACATATTTTTTTTATAAAAATTATTAGAAATTAAAATTTGCCAGACTGAAAACAACAGAATTGAGCATGCCGACCCCAGTGAAACTGAAGTCACAGGCAGACCAGCTTTTCCAGCTAAAAGTGGAGGAAAAACCGTCCTGGCCACGAAATCAGCAATCGCCGGAGAAGACAAGATCAACTCCGCTGCAAGAAGATTCATGGCAAAGCTGGCTAGGTAACTTCAGACCAACCGTTGCCAAAACTCAAAGAGAGGAGAGGCACTTTGCTATTGAGATGTATTTGAGTGTTATCACATGTGACATTTGTTTTATTAAACTGTCTGTGTATCTCAAGGTCTTCGAGCAGATTTAATTTTAAGTTGCAATTAAAAATATTATGAAGAATAGTGACATTCTCAGAAGGAGTGAAATTATGTGCCTACCATGAACTAGCACTACTCAGCAGCTAGCACGAACGATCAGTAGTCGTCACTCTGTATATGCTATAAATACGAGGATGTATCAGAAAATAACAAGACTGGTGCTATAGTATAACAACGAAACATTTATTTAAAAAAAATCAACAACTATCCTTCGAAGTACTCTCCATTCTGTTGAATACACTTATCCCATCACTTTATCCACTTATCATAAACTTCTGAGAAACCATTTTTTGATAGTCTGTTTAGTATACCCATTACAGCGTTGTTGAGCTCTAAATCCGACTCAAATCTTCTATCTCTCAATTCTTTTTTGACTTCAGGAAACAAATGGAAGTCACATGGAGCAAGGTCAGGAGACTAGGGGGGATGAACCATAATTTCAACCCCTAATTCTTCAATTGTTCGTTAACAAATCATTGATCTATGAGCCGGAGCATTGTCGTGATGCAGCGTCCAGCCAAAGTCCTGATAAAGCGGCCTTTTTTCTTTAATTTTGCCTTTAAGGGTCCTCGAAGTACATTAGAATAGTACTCCCCTGTTACTGTATGTACTCTAGGTACAATGTGATCGTAAATAACGCCAAATTTATCAAAAAAAAAGGTGCATCACTTTACCAGCGTTTTTAGCAGTTTTGGCCTTCTGCGGTCTTGGGCTGCCTTTATGCTTCCATTGCATACTTTGAGACTTCAATTCAGGATCGCAATGATAAAACCAACTTTCGTCCCATGTAACCACATTATTTAAAAACTGTGGGTTACGTTGCAATTGCCTTTTCCACTGCTGACAAATTGTCACTCGATTCGCTTTTTGTTCATCGGTCATCACTTTTGGAATCCATCTTGCCGCGATCTTCCGGTACTCTAAATCTTCATGAATAATTTTTTGAGTGGTACCGTAAGACAAATTAACATTGTCAGAAATTCGTTTTATGCCAATCCGGCGATCATTTTGTATCAAGTCGTTAATTTCTGCAATTTTTGTGTCATTTCTCGCAGTTTGTGGTCGACCGGGACCAGGTTCATCTTCAACTGATTCACAACTGTCTTTAAACTTTTTATGCCACTCAAACACTCTACATCGTGATAAACTATTATCTAGATATGCACCTTTAATCATTTCAAAAGTTTCAGTTGGTGTTTTACCCAATCGAACACAAAATTGTATCGCGTATCTTTGCTCCACTTTCATTTTTCGATGGGTGCACAAAACACTGACAATTCAATAATTAATTTGTAACAAATGTCAAAAGTTAAATCAAAGCCTACTTGCGGGATAGTACATTAAATATAAGGCTTTCATGTCTCATTTTTTGGGTTATAAAATGTTACCTCTGAAAGAAGTTATAGCACCAGTCTCGTTATATACTGATATATCCTCGTAAGATATAGTCGTTCTTAATTTTTAAATTTTCACCTTGTATATGATTACAATTTTAAATATTTCCATCCAAATTATATGCAGAGTTACTTATTGCCATAATTAATACTTACTACCAAAGATTCGAAGTATCCAAAGGTACTTATATACAGGTAATAAATTTAAAAAAAAATAATGTTAATATAGTTAGGTACATACCTTGTTTTCTTCTTCCAGCAGCAGCTTGATGCAATATGGCAACTAGTATCAAAGTTTTGCAAATATAAAAAACCATTTTGTACGCACTAAATACGTAGTCTTCCTAAATGATATTAAATACAAAATATCAATATTTTTATTCGGTAATATAGATATAGATAATAATTTAATAATTAATATTATGATACAGTATTGTAATCACCTGTATTTGATAACAATTGGTTTGATATAAACAAAGATTAATTTATTTGAATTTTAAATCTCATTTGTTTTTATTTGAAAAACATGCCATGAAAGAGATAAGGATATAAGATATAAAAAAATATAACTGACGTGTATTCACAATGTTTTTTTTTTATCAAAGTAGTAGTAGAATGATTTATTTATTAAATTAAATTAAATTAAAAAAAAATAATTTATCAATAAAGTAGTCCGCCTATTTTGTTATACGGTGTGTGCCATAAAGTTGGATCCATATTGGATTTCTTTTTAATATTATACGATTGGCAAAAAACGACGTAGAGCAGAGATTCTCAAACTGTTTCGGGAAAGAGACCCTTTTCCAAAATGATCTGATATCTCAGACCCTCATAGCCAAATTACTTTAAAAATCCTCTCTAGTTTTTTCCTATTAATACAAAATATTATTTATTTATTTTATTTTAAAACTAGTAGTTATTGAAGTAGCTTTTGTACGATTCACATTTTATTTTAGTTGAAAACGGTAACATAGGAAACTACAAAGCTGATAATAATATTTAGCTATACAAAATATACAAAAAAAATGTAATTTCGTATTTATCAAAAAAAGATAATAACTTATAATTGTTATAGTTCTATTTATTTTCTATTTTAGTCCTGATGATAGTTAGGACTTATTTTTAAATAATTTTTCTCTTTTAATTCAATATTTTTATTTGGTTCATGGATTTAATTTTAATTTGTTCTTTGAAGCATTTCATGAAGCATTCCTTGTAAATATATAAGCTTATTACTCGTAGACCCCCTGACAGAAGCCCTTTTACAACGAAAATCCACCGTGACTTGGCAAATTAAGTCCTTAACGAATTTATTGACAAAACACAATAAAAATCAATTTATTAAAACGTGTCACCCCTTCTATGGAGGCATGCTAAGCTTTATTAATTATTTGCCAGGTTTTGGTAAATTATAGAGTATTAAGTGGGTGTATTATAAATTAAGGCGGCGGATATTAGAGCCCTTCGCACTATAGGGAATATGGAGGACGCTTTATGAACGCCGGTTCATTAATTAATGTCACCTTTCTCAGTTAATTACCTTTTGAGGACATGGGCGCCGATGTTCAACATTTTTCCAAGTTAAAAATATTCTAAAAATATAATATGGAATCAAACAGAAAATAAATAAAGAAATTTAATTAAACACAAGAATTTAAATATTTGAATGTTGAAAACATAGTTACAGTGTGGACTTTTACCTTATTCACACAATAATGTAGTTTCTTTTAGTAAAAAGCCCTTTAACTTTTTTTGCTCTAGAAGGTTTATTGCTTGTTAGAAACCATTTCGTCTGCCCTTAAATGTAGGGTGGACAAAGCTGCAATTGATTTAATAATAATAGAGAATGGTATTTACAGTCTGTTCGCTATACTTACGTGGGTTTCGGATTAACAAAATTATGCAAATTAGTCATTGACAACCAGTTCCGATAAGCCTCTTCCCAAGAAATTAGGTAAAATTGCCCTAATGGTCAGATTTAAATTAAACTAATATTAGGGTAGGTACTAAATTTGTTACAAATATTGCAGTTGAATTAATTCTTTGCAAGTGTTGACATTGTATGTATATTGTAAATTTAGTGGAAATTTTAAAAATGCCTAGACGTGTGTTGGATGTAGATAGTCTAATTTGTAGTGTACATAAGTATTTTACGGATGAAAAACAAAATGGCGGTCCTTTAAAATCGGTAATATCTGTACAACAACGCGTATGCGATGCTATGGAAATTAGTGAAACCTAAGAGGAGTATTACAAAATCACAATAATGAACTGCCGAAAGAAGATCACCGCAAAACTCGCCAATCATTGAAAACGAAAAATATTCCAGATGAAAAGAAATTTGAAATTCGTGATACCATTTATCGAATGAGGGCCAACAATGAACATGTGACTTTAAATACAATTCTCTCGGAATTAATAGATAGAAACTTTGAAAACATTGGCAAGTGATACATAACTTGGGTTTCAAATTTCAAACGGAGGATAACAGAAAGGCCCTTTGTGAAAGAAGTTCTGTCGTGCACAAGAGAATTAACTTTCTAAGAAAATATTCTAAATTTAAAGAAGAAAGAGTGAATTTTATATATTAAGACGAAACATGGATATTTTCTAGGGGTGCAACCAAGAGAATATGGCAAGATGATAACGTAAAGTCCCTCAAACATACCGATGGAGAAGAGAAGCGACACATAATTTTACATGCAGGAGGGAAATCGGGTTTTATAGAAGGTGCTGATTTAATATTTTCATCTAAATCAAAATTCAGTGACTATCACAATAATATGAACACAGAAATGTTTGTAAAATGGTTGCATGAAAAACTTCTCCCAAGCTTAAGTGATCCCAGCGTAATTATTTTAGACAATGCACCTTACCATTCTGAAGTATTAAACAAAACTCCAACGAATTCTTGGACTGTTGATAAAATTAAAGAATGGTTAACAAAGGAACATATACCATTTCCTCAATATATATTAAAATCAGAATTATTACGCTTGGCAAATATACACGCAAAACCAAAAACCTTTGTTGTGGATCAGATTATTGAAAGTTACGGTCATCAAGTTTTACGTCTGCCACCGTATCATTGCCAGTTTAATCCCATCGAATATATATGGGAAATAGCAAAACAATATTATGACAACCATATTGGGCCTAATGGTTATAGTGACGACGCAGTTCGGGAAACTTGGCGAAAAGCACTTTTAATTGCAACTCCATAAATGTGGCGGAACTGTATATCCAAGTGCGAGAAACTAATAGAAGATTGGTGGACTCGTGAAAATAAAATAAACGAAATAAGTTCAATCATAACAACAATTAATGGTGATGACAGTGATGATGATGACGATTATGATATTTTGGATGATAATGACTGATTTTCATTTTTGTTGGCAAGTTCAATTTTTTTATTTTTCATTTTAAATTCTCTACATGGAACAAATTTTTATGTTAGAAAATATTTTATTTGAGCTAAATAACCCTCTTATTATACATAGACCATATTTTCTGTGTGAAGTGTAATATAAAATTATTATTAGGTTTATAATAGCCACATTAGACTAGATTATTATTTAATTAAAAAGTTGTACATTATTTTTTATTTCATTTAACCAGTTGATATTTCCCCAAAGAACAGGTCAAACTTTCGGGTACTTACCTGGAAATACTCATAAAATTTTTAATTCGAAACCCGCGTAAGTATAGCGAACAGACTGTACATAATAATACTCTAAAGACATATTAGCTTCATCTCTTCCATTAGAAGAGATAACAGAGTATGAGCCAGGGACAATAAGCAGAAAGGAGACTTGTTTGCTGAATATTTGACAAACATTCTTACACCCAATCAGATGCAAGAAGAAAATAATTTGTCTATAATTAAATATTGTATAAGATAATTAAAAATCCGAAAACATCACCCTTGTTACACCGAAACAATTAGCAGGACATATTAAAACTATAACCTTAATTCGAAAAAAGCACCAGGCTTAGAGTTAATTACTAGTAAACTCTTGAAGCAATTATCTATGTCATGCTGACATACTTGTTCAATGCAGCTTGTAGATTGAAACATGTTCCTGCATGCTGGAAAGTTGCAGAGGTAACAATTTTGCCAAAACCAGGAAAACTGCCCAACGACGTTTAGTCTTATAGGTCTATTTCTCTTTTGCCAATTGTGTTTCAGTTTGATAAATAAAAATAAAGATATCTTTCTCTAACCTATGAAATTTTGTTTGACCTCCGCCGCTGGCGTTTGTCGTTTATATTCAGTTTTGAACGGTTGTAATTAACTGAAATGTTTCTCGATCAATTTCAATAGCTGCCATAAAATCCTTCCAACTGCATTAATTCAATCATTCAATAGACACGAAGACTGTTCTTTGATTCCAGAAATCAATTACGAGTCCATTAAATCGTGGCCTCAAAGGCGCTCAATTCGATTTTTACTGTTTAAACTAAAAAGTCTCGAAGAACGTCAGTGCGGATTTTAAAGAATAATTGTTCATTCGTTTGTCTTAAATCTTGTAATAAATGTCATCTTGATGGAGATTTCAGAGCCAATTGTAAAAATCTGTAATTAAAGTGTGTAGCTGTATTACGTGGATGAAGATCACAATAAATGAGTTTCAACCATAGCTCTAAGCTCTAAGACAGTCCGCTATGGGTATACTTTCAATACAATAAAATGAGATCCCCTTCACGCTGGTCGCACCAAATGATTAACTAAGAAAAATAGTGTGTAGTCTTTCCTAAAAACTAAATTTGTTATGCAAATTAACATTGAATAAATAAATATTAGACACTTTGACGTTATGTTTATAGGAGAGTAACAAAGAATAAATCATTATAACTGCGAACTTTTACATAATTAACAAAAACATTCCAAAGATAAATCTTTTTTTATCATTCCTTAACAATCTCACACCTTGAAGATCTCCTAATTATTGCAATAAAATATTCTACTTACAAGAAACACTATTTATATTGTTAAAATAGGTAGGTACAAACATATTTTTAGTTTTAGATAGGTTTACGAGTACGAAATTAATAAGTAATTATAAAAGGGTGGGATAATACTTTTATAATAATAATAATATTAATAATAATAATGAAAAACGTGGTGGTTATGACAGAAAGATGATCCAAAAAAAGATAAATATTTTATTAACGTTAGTGTATTAAAGCTGTCACTTTTAACACTATTGCCTTAAAGTTAACACTTTTGACATTAGACCAACATTTTCAGTAGAGTTCATAAAAAAAAGAGGCTAGATATATCAGATAATTATGAACTGAAGCATCGTACTGTGTGTCCCAGATAATTGCACAAAAAAAAGAAACCTTATGAAGACGGGGAAATGATAAAACAGGCG